GTCGGTGCCGGCAGGCTCGGGCATGCTGCGTTTATGGCGCGAGCCGCCAGCGACCGGCGCCATGAATGTAACGTGGGGCAGGGCTATGGTTTCCAGCATCGCCTGGTAGCCGGCTGGCTCTTTGTAGCGGCACCATGGTTTTCACGGCACCGTAGTTAGGGCGCAGGTGTGGACTGCCCAAACATCACAGGGTTCACCAGTGAGTTGCGATACTGGCTCCCTGCGTGTGGGTGCTTAGAGCGCACCCTGCACCAGCAAATTGTGTGATACGTGTCCCCTGGAGCAGGGGCTGGCATGTCCTCTGCCAAGGCCTGGGGCAGGATGATCCCGTGTGGTCACTGGACACGGATGAGCGGCTTGTTGTTCCAGAGGGAGACTTTTATATTGGCCAGTGCTGTACTAAGAAGGCCCTTCTGTTCCACTCTTGCTCTGTAAGCAGCTGCACTGTTGTGAACAGCATTTAGCCAGCCATCCGCGTCTTGTGCCTATAGGATCACTGTTACCTCCCAAAGAACAGACTGTCAGTAATAACTAACAGTAGCATCTGGAATAGCACCTTTTATAGGTTCAAGCATAAATTCTTCCAATTATCCTGTAACGTAGGTCAACATCTTATGTTTGGGGAAACAGAAACCTAAAGAAGCCAAGTGACTTGTCCTGAGATAAGAAACTGGAATTCCTGCTGGCAGCTGTGATGCCCTGCTGCCTTGCCTCCTATCACAGTAGATGGAACTAGAAAAATCTTGGCGGTTTTTGTTGTAAAAATGTCTGAAGCCAAACAAACCTGTTGCTCACAGTGAAATGCAGTTGTAGAATGCAGTAGATCCTGTCTGCTCCTTGCATGTGCTTATAAATGAGAAAGCACAGGACCTGTGCAGGCATCAGTCAGAAGTTGCATTGTCTGTGGGCAGGAGACTTCAAAGGAGTCTAAACTCAGAACACAGCAAACCAAGCTTTTATTTATTTAATTAGTTTAAAACTGAATTATGAAAGTTAAGTGCACCATGAACAAAGGTTGGACCACGTGCTTCTTGCCCTCCAGCCCTATATTTCTGTAATTCTAAAATAGCAGAATAGCTGGAATTTTGCAAGACTCTTCCTGTCATTTACCAGTTTTATGCTTTGTGAAACAGTCATGCTGCTTATCAAGAAAGGCACGGAAGTAGGTATTTATAACCAGGTTATGTGATTGTCCCTACTTCCTCCATAAGCATTATTGAAGGTCACAGTTGAATTTAGATTTCTATACAGCAGCTTCTATCCTGAAGCACTTTATGAGCAACATTTAGCAGATTACTTGCATTGAAATGAACAAGATCATGACTGAGCTAGTAATGCATAATTGAGCCTTTTACAAGACCCAGAAATGAAACAAGCAATATAATCAGATATGCAAGGGAGCTTGAGATTAGGGGATGGTTTTCTTCTGCCAATGAGTGAGTAGTCAGGGCCTATTTGAAGTTAAACTTGTCCATGTCTAATAATTCTGTGCAAGAGGCAAAGATTTTTTCTGGGTGATACCTTGTATTGGACTGACTGCATGGTTGGGATAGATTTTAAAAAAGCTATCAAATGCAGCATATTCTGTCTTGGAACTTGCTAATTTCAATGTGGGCAAGTCACCTCTAAATATTGTTGTTAAAGTGCTTTAGGACAATAGCCATAATTGTAGTACAGAGATTTGTATTTATTGTGACCCTTAATGAAGAAGAATACGTTGTGTTCAGAAGTTTGTCTAAGACTATCCCTATTCAGTAAAAGATATCACCCATAACAATCTTTGCCACTTGCATATTTTTTGGACTGTCACAGCTACTGCATCAATCCAACCCTATCAATTGTGTGCAACAAGGTTTTGGTATTTGTGAATGAGTAAGTGGTACTGTTCCCTTCAGTCAGGATTGAATGCCTGAGGCCAAGTTTGGGCCCGAGACCGTGTGTGGCCCAGCAATGGGGCCAGGGGAATTAGGAGTGATTTGGATGCCATCTGTGAGGTATGGGACACAGCAAAGGGAAGGTCAGAGCAGTATATAATGCCCTAGGCATCAGGGCATTAAATGGGCGGCCTCCTGTATGTTTTCAGTCTTGTTTAGTTGCATCAAAGCGGGGTGGGCAAATTGGGGCGGACTGCTGTAGACAGGTGGGTGGGCCAGTACTGTGACTGGCCCCAGGATGGCTCCCTGTCACAGCCCTATACATTTAGAATTGTAGAATCTTAGAAAAGTAGGGTTGGAAGGAACCTTACTGGTAGGGAGGTCATTTAGTCCAGCCCCGTGCTCAAGGCAGGATCAGCCCTATCTAACCAGTTCTAGACAAGTGTTTTGCCCAATCTACTCTTAAACATTTTGCAGATCACCCAAATGAACAATACTAGGCCTAGTGTCTAAAACATGAAAAACACCCAAATTGCCATAGACTGAGCAGAGGGACAAGGGCACTGTTAATGTCCTGTGTTTACAAAGATAGGAAATAGTTGTTAAATATGCTGATCTGAAATGCATGTTCCAGGGAAATAGCTACTGTGTCCGTGAATATTTTGGCAGAAGCAAAGGGGTTAAAAACAGTATGACAGCTTCCAGTAAATAAATCGAAGTGTAATGGCATTCAAAGAAGCCTCAGATATGTTCCATTAAAACAGTAGTTTAATTACCCCTTTTCTCCGGTCTCAAGTTGTCCATGCTTCCTGGCTTTTAGCAGCCTCCCTCTGTTCCTATAGTTACTATCTGTTGATTTTTGCAGGTGAAATGTGTTGATGTTATTCAAGCTTACATCCAGAGGATCAAGGAAGTCAACCCTTTTATCAATGCAGTTGTCAAGGACAGGTGAGTCAGAGAAAGGGTGGTAAATGGTTTTCTCCATATTCCAGTCTAGTAGGTGTCACAGGTTGTGCCTTGTAATGGTACAAATAGGGGTGCACCAATAGAGATTTTGTGAGCTGACACCGATAGCTGATATTTAAGGAGGCATATCGGCCGGTACCGATTCGATTTCCAGTACAGCTTGCAGCTGGTAAGTCTGTTGTGGTGGAAGGGAAGTGGGGAGGGAAGGGGTATTGAGGAGGAGAGGTGGGGGCGATCAATGCCCCCCCCCCCCCCCGTGGTGAGGGAGGGGGCAGGGACTGGGTGCAGGATGAAGTCATGGCTTGGGGGGGGTGGGGGGGAGAAGTGGCGTCCCACTTCTGCTTGCATCTTGGGAGGACATAGGGGGGGAGCAGGGGTGTGTGCCCCGGGATCTCCATGGTGTGGGGTGGGCAGGCTGGAGCCAGGGCTGTGCTGGGCTCTTCTCAGCAGGAGCTGGGCTTGGGAAGGGAGCTACAGAGGGAGGGGGCTTCAGCCACCCCAAATTTTGCTGTAGCCCCACTCCCAGCGCCGCCACGTGCCTGGTGCGGTCTTGGCTCAATGCCCCGCCTCTACTCATGCCCCGGGAAAAACCGGGGCGGTGCTGGGAGCAGGGCTATGGTGAAATTTGGGGTGGTTGCAGCCACCTTCATAGCATCTGCCTTGAGTCGAGCCCCTGGTGAGAAGAGCCTGACGTAGCCCTGGCTCCAGCCTGCAGCTGTAGCCTGCCCGCCCACCCTGTGCAGGTCTGGGGTCGCACCCCTACCCCCCTGATGATCTATGGCTCCGTCCCATACTCTACTCTGCCCTGCACTGCCCCAGCTGGGCAGCACGTGCCCCTGCCCCTTCCCTCACCACGGGCGGGCGGGGGGCAGGGGCAGTGATTTGCCCACTCCCCACACCCATTCCCTTCCCCCTTCTCCTTCCGCCACAACAGACTTACCAGCTGCACGCAGCTCTCCAAGCTGCCGGGCTCTGCTCCTTGCTGCCTGCGTTCTGCGCTGCGGCTGTGCTCATGCACAGGCATTTATGAGCCACATTGGGCTGATTTCCGATGCAGCCAATTTTCTTTATATCTTTACTGATCTGATATCGGACTGATGTATTAGTGCACCTCTAGCACAAGACTAGGCACAACTTCCATTTGAGGTTTTGCACCTTTTCAAACCCTGGCCCTGCATTTCATGCTTAGTGTTGAGAAGGAGAAATTGCAGTCTTAATACTAAGCAGTGGAGTCTCCTGAACTAGTTTCATAGCTGTGACTTACTCCAGTCATTACATGCCTGCTCACTGCCATTTAACATTGTAAGAGTGGTTAACCAAAGTATGGTTGTTACTGACTCTTAGGAAGATAGTGAGCTGCAGCTAAAGGAAATCTTTATTTCTCATTCTTGCTACATACTGTATTTGCTGATGTATTTCCTTAAGGTTTTATATTCTTAACAGGTCTTACAACAAGATGCAGGTTTCATCATATACATTCTATTCATATGCAGGGAGTAGTTTAATGATGGTTTTGTAAATTGGAAGAAACAGAATGCATAATGGAGATTGTGCTGTACAGGAAACCTGCTAAAAGCTAGGGGTGCACCAATAGAGACTTTTTTTGGCTGATACCAGTGGTTGCTTATTAACCAGCTATATTGGCCCATACTTATCCAGTAGCCCAGGGGCAGGCAATTATTTCGGCTTGAGGGCTGCTTAACGAGTTTTGGTGAGCTGTCTAGGGCTGCAAGGGTACCCCTGCCCCTTGACAAGCACCCGCCCCCTAGTTGCCATCTTGGGACTGGAAGTCCTACCCCTAACCTCTGACCTTTGCCACCAGAAGTCCCTCCCCTTGCCCCTGGGGGTACTCCTTTTGGGAAGAGGGTTCTCCATCTTAGAACTGGAAAAAAACCCCCAAATTTATATACTAAAAATCCAACATAATAATAATAATATATTTTAATTTAATTTAAAAATATATACATTTTTGTCCTGATTTGTGTCTTTGTGCTGTGTACACATAGAAGTGATTGCATAATAGCTCAAAATGAAGTCTTACTGTTGTGTATTGTGTGGAATGTGGAGGGGTGTCGGGGTATGGGTGGGTAGGTGGGTATGGAGGTTGTGTGGGGAGCTGGTGGGGTGTGTGCATGAAGTAGTGTGCATGAAGGCTTCTTCCAGAGGTGTGCCAGTGTGTGTGGGTACAGTAATTGTGTCTGGGGGAGGGTGTGGTTGTGGGGCTTGCAGGGGAGGGTTTGAGGGTATGTGGAGTGTGCGTGGGAGCCCCTCTACACGGTGCTGACTGGCTTGGGTGGGGGGCACAACTCCTGCCCTGCAGCAGTCCAGGGCCCGTGTGCCCTGCGGTACCTCCCTGCCACTGCCAGCAGCATGCGGCCCCATTGTGCCCCACACACGCTCCACACTGCCCGGCTATGGTGCATCCTGCCGTCCCTGGGTGTGCAGCAGACCTGGGGTGGCTCCTTCTGACTGCTGCAGCTGGCTCCAGCCCCGTGGTAGTGGTGGGGATCAGCACGCACAGCCCTGACCCTGCGTGCCCCCTCCCATAGATTGAGGCCCCCATTCTGAGGGAGGGAGTGGGGCTGGGGCAGGGCACAGGATGGAGCTGCAGATGGTGGGTGTGGCAGGGCAGAAGAAGGGGGGGCAGTTCCCACCACTGTGCATGCTCCTGATGGAGGCATGAGGGGGCATGTGCCTCCCCCAGATTTGTGTGCAGGTCAAGGGCAGGCTGCCTCAGCCTTGTAGAAGAGTGGCTTAGGGCTGGGGGCTGTGCCTGCCTCTTCCCGGCAGTGGGGCTGGGCTGGGTCTGTGCTCGTGGCGGGTGGCAGAGGTGCTGAGGGGTGCTAACTGTGGGGGAAGGAGAGGGAGGGGAACGGCTACAGGGAATTCTGGGGTGGCTGTAGCCTCACTGTATGCCCCCCCTCTCCTAGTGGCACCGCCACCCACCCCGACCCTCTGCCGGGAAGAGGCCGGCACAGCCCCCGGCCCCGAGCAGACAGCGGGCAGCTTGCCCTCACCCCATGCACAAATCCAGGGGGCACATGCCCTCCCATGCCTCCCCCAGAGTTGCATGCAGCAGCTGGAGCCCCACCCCCAACCCCATGCACCCTGGCCGAGCTACCTGTGGTTCTGTTCTGTGACCTGGCTGGGCAGTGCCTGTGCCTGTCCCAGCCCCACTCTGTCCCTCACCGTGGGGGCCTCAGTCTACCTCACCCACACCCCTTCCCTCCCCTGTGCCTCTTTCCTCCACAGACTTACCAGCCAAAGGCTGCTTTACAAGCTGCCTAGCTGCGTTTCTGGCCGCATGCATGCTGTAGCTGTGCTCATGCAAGTAGCATTTATAGGTGACATTATCGACTACACCAGCCAAAAAGAGCCAATTGCCGATTAATGTCAATTTTCCTTTTATCAGTACTGATCTGATATGGAATGAGATATCAGTGCACCTCTACTGAAAACTGTTTAATGTTAGTTTTGTTCACAGTATGTTCTCACTGTTTCTGTGGCTAACAATATCATGCTGACACCCATAAAGGCTGCATGGTGCTTTTTCTAGGAGTTCTAAATCCACTGAGCATCCTCTGTTGATTTTCATTCTGTCTCTCCTCATCCTTCTTCCCCTTCACAGCTAGGAAAAGGCTAAAAGTATTAATTTGATTTTGGATCCAAAATACTTTAAAATCAATCTAATTGGTTTAACCAATCAATCAACCAATCTAATCAGTTTGCAAATTATCTTCCTTCTCTGTTGTTGCTCTGTGTCGTTTATGGCAAGGATGGGCGAAAATTCCTTGGATTTGCAGGATTCAAGTAACAAGTTCCTTGTTGAAAATTCAAGTCCTTCTTAATTCCAATGGATCTGGAAGTGCTGTGAGGATGATGTTTCTCCTAGGTATTTTGCTGGTTCCAAATAGATCTAAAAAACCAAGCTTGCTGATTAACTCCAGGTTTTACATCTGTGTTCAGTTTGGTTTGTACCATCTGGATTAGACTGTCATTAGTGTCTGAGTGAATGCTGCAGATTGTAGAAGAGTGACTTAATTTTAATGTAATTTCAGGTCTGTCTACCCTAAAGGCATATATATTCAGTTACCTTCTGATTAACAAGTGGAACTACTTAGTTAATGTACTGCAAATGTCTCATATGTTTTTTGGGAACTTTATTCCCGAATGGCTTGTCTTCTGTAACCAAAAAAGTATTCAGGTAAGGTGTCAGTCAGCCAGTTGCTGTGTACTTTGTATACCTCTGTTCTGAGGCTGATAAGACACTCTGTAGACATTAATGAGTTAAGCGTCCTCTCTCCCTCATTGTACAGATGGTGACTCATCCAGGATCTCAGAAGAAGCTTGTGGCAGAGCCAGGGGTGGAACCCACATCTTCTGGCTCTTGTCTTTTATTTAACCAAACTGCCAGCTTCTGTCCTGGATATAGTCAGAGATGGATAGCAGTGGGAGCAGGGAAATGAGTAATTGCCTACCTAATATTGTAAACTCTTTAAATTTACCTGGTTCTGATTAATTAGTCTATTACCTCACTCCCCCTTCTTACTTTTGCTGACCTTCCATCTGTGAAGAGCAGATCATCCCAGTCAGAGAATGTCTGGGGTTGGTCTGATGCCAGAGAATGACAACTTTCTCTCTTCTTCTTCCTCCTCCTCCTTCCCCACCATTCCTCTTAGATTTGAGGAAGCCCTACAGGAGGCCCAGCAGGTTGACAGACTGCTCTCAGAGGGTGTTGGAGATGAAGACTTCCTGCAGGAAAAATTTCCCTTCCTGGGAGTTCCTTTCACCGTCAAGGAGGCCTTCGCATTGCACGGTGTGTTTTCACACAGCCTTTACCAGCCATTGTTTAGGTTTGATTTGCAACCTGTGCTCTTTTAGCTCCATTTTCACTAGGGTGGTAGTTTCACTGTAGCAGAAAATCTGGGTGGTGGGCCTTGGTCAGAGGACTACAGCTCCCTTTTGTCAGCCTGTCTTCTCTCCTTCCCACAATATGTTAGACCCTCAGATTGGAAATATTAAGCTACTGACTGCAGTTCATTTATTGCTTTCTAAATACAGGCTTTCTACCCCTTAGTTCTGGCTTCTCTGAACCACCCCTTGGAACACTTCCTCCCCTGTTCTTTTGGTTTTCTTACTCATCATTTATTATCCCATTTCTAACCGTCTCCACATGCTTTAATCTACCCTGGTTTGAGGTTCCTTTTTTGTTTGTTTTTAGCCAAAGTTCTGATTTACTAGTTACTGGCTTACTAGGCCAAGTCTCTCTCATTTCTTTTGACCAATGTTTTGTTGCTTTCTTTCCTTTTTAATATCTAGATATGACTGTGATGGACCAATTACAATATCTGAATAGACAGTAACCCTTTCCCCATACTTTGATTTTTACCGAGTGTTAAATAAATAATTTTAAATGGACCATGTCGCTGAGCTTTCAAGCAAGATTACTTGCATCTGTGCAAGGGTTGTGGCTATCATCCTCTCCAGTATATACATTATATGTTTTCAAAGTCATTTTATTCTCTTTATATGTTTGGTACCTCTGAAAGTGTCTTGAGCACCCTACTATACATGAGGAGATCAGACCTCTTTTGAAGTGACCATCTAGGCAAATTACAGATATGATTTCTGACTCTAGCTTCGTTAGAGCGTAGAATTAGCAGCAGTATTGGGGCAACAGAGTCTTAGAATGAATGGTATATTTTTTGCAGAGTCTGATTGCTGACCTGTTTATTTTACAAGTTTGATCTTTTCATTTATTTACATTTTTGTTGTTTTAAATATTGTGTGAGAATCTAGAGGTCAGGATAGGTTCCCTTTTAATCATCTAAACAAGGAAAGCCCTGTCCTGCTGTCTATGGTTTAGGATCCTGAAACTGTTTTGCAAGGCTTATCCCATTCCCCTCACTGCTGGTAAATATGACTCCTCCTTGGAGAATGGTTCTGTGTTTTCCAGTTGCAGTTGAATGGAGGTGCTCAGTGAATCACTAATTGGGATTTTTGGCTGGCTTGCTCTCCTTGAGGCAAGAGGGTGTGGTACCTAGCATCAGTGTGGAAGCTTTGGAGAATACTGAGAACTTCTGCTGGGTTTGGCAGTCTCACCCAGAAATCGTTATTAGTGTTTGGGAAGGGGAGCTGTACAAGGTACTCATTTGTTATTTCATTCTGGTTTTTTGGCAGGATTTGAAATGAACACAGGATCTCTCAACCATAGCTTGACATTTCAAGGTTGTTCATACTGAATCTCTGACCCATTGTCCCTGTTTACCTTTTTATCACAGGGATGCCAAATACTTCTGGCCTGGTTAGTCGTCGCAACTTGATCTGCACATCAGATGCAATAGTGGTGTCCCGGTTAAAGCAAGCTGGTGCAATCCCGCTGGGGGTGACCAACTGCAGTGAGCTGTGCATGTGGTATGAGTCTAGCAACAAAGTCTACGGCAGAACTAACAATCCATATGACTTGCAAAGGATTGTGGGTGGTAGTTCAGGTGAGTCACCTGCATCATGAAATTTAAGTTGCTCGGCAGCTAGCAGATATTGCAGTACACAGAGGAGTTGAGGAAAATCCCTCTAGCTAATAGGACTTTCTTGTAAAGCTCTGCAAGTGATTGACTGATTAACCATACTTCTAGTTGAGATGTAACACTTGGGCAATTAAATGTCTGTTTGACTGACGGGGATGTGAACATTCCAGCTCTTGGATATCTGCTATGTGTCACCTTAAAAGTATCCTTGCTGAAGTAGCATTATATTGGTATGATTGTCAGAACTGACTTGATATAAACGGGGTGAACATCAAGAGCAAAAATATAGCACAGTGCAATGGTATCTTAGATTGGGGTATGCAGGCACTGTTGTGACACACGATAATCTTAAGGGCTTTCTCAGACCAGAAAAATTTCCATTAGCTTCTGCCTAAGCAAGGATGGGAAATCACTTGGCTAACTAGAAGGGAGAGGATGAGGCTATCGAAAAGGAAAGCATTCAGTGGCGTATCTGGGGAGGAGGGTGGCTTGCTGCCGCTGCGCAGCTCCTCTGGGGGAGGCATGGGGGGCATGTGCCCCCCAGATTTGTGCACAAGATGAGGACAGACTGCCCACTGCAGGCTCATGCCTAGAGGCTGTCCTGGCCTTTTCCTGGTAGGGGGGGAGCAGGCTCAGCTGTGTGGGGTAAACAGCAGCACTGAGAGGGGTGGCTCCAGGGGGACTGGGGAATTTTGAGGTGGCTGTAGCCTGCCCCGTCTAGCATCGCCCCTGCTCGGGGCACTGCGCTCTACTGCAGCTGAACCTGCCCCACCTCCACCAACTCTGAGCGCAGCCCCAGTCCAGCCTGCCTTCGCCCTGTGCACAAATCTGCGAGGGGCACATGCCCCCCCCATACCTCCCCCAGGGGACCATGCAGTGGCATGGCGCTGTGCCCCACAGATGAGCCACCCATGGCTCCATCCCGTGCCCTGCCCCAGGGTCATATTCACTGCCCTGGCTGGGCAGTCCCTGCCCCGCTCTCCCTTCCTTACCTTGAGGGCCTCGATCTACTTCCCTTCCCTGCTTCACTCCCTTTCCCCTCTGCAGTCTTACTGTTAGGATGCTGCTCTCCAAGCTGCATGGCTGCATGCCTGTAAATGTAGCTGTCAGATTGGTATCGGCCAACATGGCTGGTTAATAATTGGCTGTCAGTATCGGCTAAGAAAATTTTTATTGGAGCACCCCTTATTTCAATAGTCTTGAGGTTCCACTAATCAAGCTATTTGTTCTTCTGCAGTTATGCTATTAGCTATTCCTGGTAATACAGCTGCTGTTTCACAGATTGTTTTATTTCTAACTAAAAACATTAACTCAGGTGTAGAGATAACTGCAATGAACACACCATTGACAGTTAAGACACTTAAGAAGTAGTGCAGTGGTTCTCAACCTTTTGTACCTTACATCCCATCAACCATTTGGTCAGAAAACCTTGGTCTCACCATGATAAAAATAAAACCCCACTTTTTCCAAGAAGTGGATTTTTATGTTTACATGCATTTTTAGTATTGTATTAATAATTAATGGTAATTTTCAAATTCTAGTGACTACAAGACTAATGAAAGAACATTTTGATTATCTTTTGCCTAGCTTGTTGTGTTTTATACATAATATAACATATAGCAAAGTAATGTATATTCTGATAAAAGTTGTATCTGTTTTTGTTTTAATCTTAAACTGAATAATAGAGCCTTAAGCACGCACCATATAGGCAAAGCTTCTAGTTTCTTTTAACTGGAGAAAAATGTGTGTTTTGTTATATGTAATGAATAATGATGTACCACACCATCTACACCCCCTTCAAAATTCTACATCTGCCCATAATTATATGAATTACTGGTAAACGTAATGAGAGAGAAGGGAAAAAAAAGGGGGGCAGTAGGGGGCTCTAACACATCCACATCCACTTTCTTGCAAACCCCCCAGATAAACACCCAAGAACCAACGTGTATCTCAACCAGCTTCATCTACATCAAAAGAAGTCGGGCCAGTCTCTCTTCAGTTATAAAAGGTGTCTTTGTTTCTCAGTTTTGCAAGCATTTCAAAACAGTGTGTCCTTTACATAGCTTTAATTAGCTTTGTGTCTAGATAAATCAGTGTCTGTTTGTGGTACTGAGTGTGCCCATCTTAATCTTTTACTTCAGTTCTGAAACTCTTTAAGTCAGTTTACTAACAATTAGTTGATTTAACAAAAGGCAGCATTATGCTGTTTAATGTTTGGTCCATTGTTCCTCCATTGTTGGAAGGGATTCTGGCTTTCCCTGACAAATCACAGATTCTCTGATAAAACCCCCAAAATCTGTGATTTAAAATAAAAGACCCCCTGGTCCTGCTCGTGCCCCTCACTCCCCCACCTAAAGCCCCTGCCCC